GTTGTGGGGGGGGGGGGTGAAATAGAAGTCTGTTATTCGTTTTTGTTGTGTTTTAATGGTAACTGGTCTTTTATTTTCTCAAGTTTTTTGTTGGCAATTTGGCATTGGTACTATGAGATGATTGCTTAAAACCTGGAGAGCTCATTAGAGTAATTAATTAAAACAAAATAAACAGCAATATACGTGGACTACCAGGAATCATCTTCTGCATTTCAAGTTCAATTTGCATTTGTTTCTTTTTTAATATGAAATGCCTGAATCGTGATAAATAATAGGTTTCAATTTAATTTGATTCCCAAAAGAAATAGCAAGATCATTATAGTACAGAGTAGGCAAACTATTGAGGCATCTTTCTAAACTAGATCTTTTATGTCTATGCAAGTCTCTTTCGCTGCTGAAATAGTTTTGCTTCCTATTTGAAGTAGCTAATCAATTTTGGTGATGCAGATTGTGCCTGGCATTGTTGACTGTAATCCTTTGGATGATGTAAGTTTGCTTCTCTCTCTCTCTCTTGCACACCTCATTCCTAGAGCTTACATAAAAAGATTGATCATCACATTGTAAGTCCTTGTATTTCTCTTTGTTATTGTTATCTGTAACTTGTGATACTCTCACAGTAGAAGTTCTTCAAACAATCATACTAGGAATTTCTGCTACTTCTTCTTTATTTGTTCTTAGCTTGAGTTGGCAATATCAAACTTTAAATGTGTAATGCGCCCAAGCTTGAACGGGTTGGGTCACTAAACAAAGACAGAATGGGCCAACCTAGAATTATCCATCAAAATGCTGTGTTAAATGGGTCATAGCAAGTGTAATCCTATGGGAGCTGTTTTTTTACCAGCTTGTCATGGGTAACAGTGGTAATCGTTGAACCAGAGAAGAGAATAGTTTTGACTTAGGTTGTGTTCGGTATGAATCCAATTTTTCCATGTTCGGGTTAAATATTTTGGAAAACATTTTCTCTAGCAAACCAAGCTCCTTAAAAACAAGGAAAATGCCTTCTCTAATGAAAATAGGGAAATCAAGTTCCTATAGTGACATTCAATATTGACTATGTCGTCCCCACCCTCTAACATACCTCATCCTTACCCCAGTCCAATAGCCTCCATACCCACCAACCCCATGCTTCTACCTATCCACCCCACCTCCCTAGTATTTGTGTAAATTATGTACAAATATTTTTAGAATATATATTTTTGCTCATCTACAAAACACAAGAAAACAAGTAAGGAACCCTCTTATTTTCCTAGAAAATATTTTCAATATCAGATTAAGTTTTTTTTGTATGCCTAATACCTTACCAGCCTTTTCTGCAAACATTCTACTGTATCAAATCACGATGGGAAAACAAATTTCGTGATTTTCCATCAGAAAGGAAGTCCATTTTTGTACAAGAGAAAAAAATACATTTCTCGCCAAGTTTTTGGATCCTTTGCTCCAAGCTTGAATTTCAAGAATGCATTCACGAACAAGACTGATTTCTCAAATAATGACAAAAGCTTTTACTTCTTTTATACAGCGAATTGAACCTCCTGAAATCGAAGCAAGTAGATAAGATCTCATGAAAATGAAGTCGTTACACAACTACCACTTCTCTGCCCAAAGACACAATGCTTTCCTTCGCTAACCTCTCCTACAGATGTGCCAAGGTTCATCCTGTCTGAGTGTTTCCAAGGTTTTAGTGACTTAATTGTGGCAGAAAAGATTGTGGGGCTTACTTACAAGTGACTTTTTCTTGAATACCTTTTAAAACAAATATTTTCATGGATGCTTTCTGGTGCTTTAACTCAAGTGTTTTTCTTCCTTGATTAGCCCCTGCTTCTTTGTTTAGATAATAGACCAAATACTAAAAGAGCATTTTAGTTCCATGTAATTGATTTTCTTCACTTGATTGATTATCAACTTGTTTAAATTTCCCTTATCTCTATATAACTAAAATTCAGACAGACCTGTGCAATTCGATTAGGCCTTTTTCTTGTTACAACTTGGATATGAATTCATGGCTAATTGCCATATTTGACAGGGTTTTGACGTTGACACCTATCCGAGTGATGCTAAGGCAGCTATATATACACCATATCTAGGGTTTGAGAAAGAAGCTGACATGCTGATGGAACTGGCTAAGCATGCTATTGACGATTACAACAATGTAGAAACCAATGTATGCTTTTATTTTATTTTTTGCTTTTGGATGAATAACTCCCTCAACCGTAGTGTTCCCAACAATATTTATTTTCTTCATGTCTTGTTGTAGGTTCACAAATACAAGGTGTCTAGTATTGAAAAAGTGAACTATATCTCGACCGAATCATGTCGAGAATTTTTCATCACGATTAAAGTTAAAAATCTCACTCTGCGCACACCTCTACAAACCTTTCAAATCCATGCATACAAGGGACCACATGGAGAGAATGTTGTCATTCTTTGCAGGAGAAAGCCCTGATGTGAGGTATATATTCTTAAAACCTAGAGAGCTTAGCAAACTAATTATACCTATGTTCGTGGGAGATAACAAGTACTTTGTGTAGTAGTAGTAGTAGTTGATGCTATTAGTTAAATGTACCGTAAAGTTGCTATATGCCATTTTCATTAAATTGGATTTGTTTTGTCGGTTGATGTTAGAAAATATTCCAGTGTTTCTATGTTTTTGGTTGATAGGTTGCCCTTCCTTTTCCTTGCAGAGGAACCAGTCATCATTCCAGTTCTGCGTGAAGGGGTTAAGATGCTCTTGGAACGTTGTGTATTTTTATTTTTTTTGGATTGCCAGTTATGTGTGTCATGCAGTACATGAAGCTTAACAGCTTGTTTGGATGGGTTACCTATTGTCTTGTATCGTTTTCATACAGTGTTTGTTATGACTATTATTATTGAATTTCATTGTATTGTCTGTCTTGTTAAATCTTCCTGCTGTAGAAGGACTGAAAATATCAGTTTGTGTAATAGTCGATTAGGTATGATTGCTTGGTCATCTTATTTCTCTCCCTTCATGGTCTCATGGATTGATATCCCTAGTCTCTTGGAGTTATGTTATGTTTTTATAACTTGTTTGCTAAAACAGGCCCTAATTATTAGTCCTACAAAATATCATCATTCCTCCAGGAGTAATGAGCATTATTATGACAAGGAAAGCTAAGATTTTTAAGAGCATTGAGCAAACACATTTCTTAGCAATGAAAATATTTTCGTTATCGATTTTACACCGATATTTAATTTTGTTTAGAGTATTGATATTCCAGATCTAAGCAGAGGAAAAATCCGTAATCGTGTAAACTGATTTATATAGTAAAAATGACATTAGAGTTGATGGATCTGTAGGGTTCGAGGATGACAAATATAACGTTTTATGCTGCAATAAAATAAAGCAGGTTAGTTTTGTATATAATTATTATATGTGGGGAAATAAGTTTTAAAAAACTATTCAACTTTTTAATTTAAGACTTTCCGTTTTTATAGTATTTTTTATTATAGATAGATATAGAGCATTATGACGAAATTGTGGTAAACATTTTTAGAAATATTCTTTGTTATCATTTATTATTTTGTCCAAATAATTATTTAAAATTAGTCAAATAAATAAATATTATTACTAATTTTTTAATTATTTCTAAAAAATAACAACTCTCAATATCTACTACTATAATATTACTATTGAATAATTTTATAATATTTGTTTCACTATAATATTACTATTTAATAATTTTATGATATTTGTTTCACTAATTAAATTAGGGAAAACTGTATATAATAGTAAACTATTAATTCAAATTAAATGCTATAAATATAGTTTGATTTAATTGTACCTCATAGCAAACTGTTGCTATTTCACTTCTCTCCTGGTGAATCTCGCTCGCCACTCTCGTTCTCTTCCTCACCTCTCTCGTTTTTTATACAAACGCAAGTGTATAAAGTGCGTTTGTGTTTGTATAAAGCGAGAGAAAATTGTATATACAAATA